GAATGTTTACTGTTGTAATTAAAAAATTACTCGTACTAGTACTTGGTTTATATCAAGTAAATGAATACAAGACTCGTACATTACATTTAAACTTTTATCACTTAACTATGATTAAGTCATATGTATTCACATTTTAATTTATGGTTCTGGTTAAATTGGTATGATTTGTGTAAACATAAGATGTGAGTAAATCTCTCAATTAGTTTAGCTTCTTTTTTTTTTTTAAAGTAACAAAAATGTAGTGATTGATTCATACTGTGTAGCTAATCTACCCCTCCTAGAAGGTGAAGACAAAATAAAGATATAATTTTTTTTGACAATCGTTCAATGTTTCGGTTGCCACTTGTGAATATGGTTAAGTAATGACGAAGCTAGTATTTTCACTAAGGGAGATTTATGATAGAAAGAAATAAATATACGAAAAAGCCAGAAAAATTTAATATACGTAAAAAACTACAGTGTCCATCGATTGGTTCAGAAAAAGGTTTGCTCGTTCATTCTCTTTATCTACCACTATTAAGTAGGGGTAATTATAAACATAATTGAACAAGAATAATCTCTTTTTAACAATGGCGAGCAAAACACACCTGAGAGAACTAAGCTCCCTTAGTTTCAATTTATATGACACACTTTAACTCAGAAAAAAAAGAGGACGGGCTCTAATGGACCACGGAGGGCATCTTTTATCCTTGTTCACGTTCAAGCTGAAACTGATAGATTTGGACTCTGGATTTGTGGAAATGTGGGGACATTTTCCATATGGGTAGTGAGACACATTTCTGCAAACTTGAAAACGTTGATAAAAGCAGCAAAGAGAACGTATACGCAGACCTTAACTCTACCTTATGAAGGTGGAGAAATTGTTTCCGATAGACCATATATTTAGTTGTCCATTTTCTTAAACCGTATCTTTATTCCGACTATACTCGTCGAGTAAACCGTAACTTAAAAAGATTACCATTCCGAACCCATAAAGTTCAAATCATGACTCCGCTTCTGTAAGTGGCTATGCACATAGCTTCACTAACAGTCCCTTCCACTTGACTCTGAAAATAAAAACAGATACGCAAATTCTGAAAAAATGGAAAAAGTTATAAACTTTCAAATGGGAAGAGAGCTAAACATTAACACCATAATCATCTTCTGATTAAGCTCAAAAGTTTGAACTTTTTTTAGTATGTACATCTTGCCTTACAGCTTAGCACCAAAACTATGAATTATTAAAAATGATAAAGAGATAAATCTCTCAAACTGCCAAATTTTTATTACTAGCATATATAACACCAGACTAGAGCATATGGAAAATTGGACATGAAGACTAGCAATGAGG